AGATAAAACTAGAAATTCCATTCAACTCAGCTCTTTCCCTGTAGGTATCTTCACGAGAGTTAAAATCATCATAATACAGTGATATATGTATATCCATGTTTATAACAGCACAATTCATAATAGCTAAACCTTGGAAGGGGCCCATATGTCTATCCACAGATGAAAAGATGAAGAATATGTGGTATTTCTACACAGTGGAGTACTAATCTGCCATAAGGAAGGATAAACTCAAGTCACTTGTAGAAAAATGGATTCACCTTAAGTCCATAATGTTAAGTGAAACTGATCAGAAAAACAAGCTTAAATATTGCGCAGTTTCTCTGATATGAGAAACTCAAAGTATAAATAGATAGCAAAATGAAGATAAATAATAGGAAACAGGGAGATAGCTCTTTTGCAGATGGGAAAGGCAACAAGAGATAGAGGGAGGAGCATAATTAAGACACATTATGTCCACATACCAACTGCCCATGATGTAATCATCATGTACTGGAAACACGTACCAATAAGAATTTTGTGTTTTGTCCTAAACTAGGTTTTTCCCTGTTTATATCTTTCACCATTTCTTTCCATTGACATGGTAATCAAAAATAATAATTTTATGCTAATTTTAAAGCGTCTCACAGTTTCTGGATATCAGACAATAATATATTATGATAGTTGGATCCCTGAGTTTGGACAAGCTTTTAAGCAGTGTTTCTCTCCTAACATGAGGCTCCTGTCACCTCCATTTTCAAAGCTGAATGACACTAGCCAGGGAAATATGCTCTTCAGATCTTCCCTATCATCAATCACATATGCAGAATGAGACACTGAGGAGTCTCTAAAGTCTCGGCCAAGTGCAATGGAAGTTTCAGGCAGTAAAAACGTGGCCAAAACTCAACAACTGGGTCAGTCAAAACAGATTTCCTGTCTCGTGCAAGCAGGGCAGGCTGGGTTCTATAAAGGTCTCTAATGCAATAAAATATCACTGCAGAAGGTTAAAGAAGGCATTTGCCTGTCCTGAATGATAAATGCTAATGTTTAAAAGGGATTTCAAGTCTTTGAAAGGAAAAAAAGGAATGCTAAGGAGATTTTTCGGTAAGGACCCCAGTCCCTTCCCCCAAGATTTTAAGGTTACTTGTCAGGATTTTTTCCTTCTGCAAATTAAATAGTGATCTCCATGGTTAATTGTAAGCAGTGTGACAATGCCACCTCCAGCAAGAGGCTTGGACATGGGGAGAACATGACACACATGTTTGTTCACCAGGCAGGATAAATCAGCCACCTCCCAATCAGCCAGGATCAAGGAAAGTGCTCTTGTTTTACTCTAATCCTCGCCTCCAAGTCCAAGGAGAGAAAACAATTCCAGTTCTTTTTTTATCTCCTAGGCCAATGGTTCTCAACTTCAGTGTGTATCAGAGAATCACCTAGAGGGAAAAAGCTTTCTTGGCCCTGCTCACCAAATTTCTGACTCACTAAATCCGGGCAGAGGCTGGAGAACTGAATTTTTAGTAAATCCCAGGGTGATTTCGATGTTGGTGATCCAGGGAATCACAGTTTCAAATCGTGGTCTGGAGCCTTGCTTCTAGTATATATTTCTCTAAATTTGATGGCATCTCTTTAACCTGTTCTTTTAAAAATAATACGGGTAAGCCAGGTTTGGTGGCTCACGCCTGTAATCCCAGCACTCGGGAGGCTGAGGCAGGAGGATCGCTGTGAGTTTGAGACCAGCCTGGGCTACATAGTGAGTTCCAGGTCAGTCTCAACTACATAGTGAGACCCTGTCTCAAAAAATAATAATAATAACAACAACAATAATAATACAGGTAAGAAGAAGGCATTGGCAGGCAGGCACTGATTACGGAGTCTTACTCCCTGACTTCAAATCCTAGATATATGGTTTCAACTAAGTCATTGAATTTATCTGGGCATCTTTTTTCTTCATTTATGAAATAGGGATATTGATACTGATATAGGGTACCAAGTAATCCAAATAAGCAAACTAATCCAAATAAGGGAAATATTAGAACTCCAACTCACTAGATATCCGAAACTCAGAAAGTGTCCCCCCACACACAAGGTGCTTGGGTGTTTGCATCCCGAGTTGCATATTTGTCTTGTGGTGTGTCCGTGTGTGCGTGTGTGTGTGTGTGTGTGTGTGTGTGTGTGTGTGTGTGTTCCCGCCCTGGGCTGAGGCTGGTGACACTAGAAGTTCTGACAGTCTGAAAGTCCTCAGGCACAGGCCCTGGGGAGAAGGCAGAAAGTGAAAGCCTCTGGAACATGCCTCCCCGCCAACCATTAGGACTTCTCATTGTGCTCAGATTTTCTCTTGGCTGGGTTTCCTTACAGTCATGGTATTGAGAGGCAGTGAGGTAGTTAAGAGGAAGTCAGATCATGAGGACTGCAACCTCACAAGGGCATCCTTGCAGTTCCCAGGGAATGGGCTGGCTGCTGTGACAATGGTTTCTTGCAGAGTAAGGCCGGTTCCGGGCCCTACCTGCCTTCTGCTGAGAGGTCCTCTCAGGAAGCTGAGAAGGTGCTGGACCACGCTCTCAGACTTCTAGAACTGGATGCTAAAATAAACCTCTTTTGCCCAGGATCAGGGTCTGATAAGCAACACAAAATGGACTATGACATAGGTGAGCTCATAAGTGATAAAGATAAAAATATGTAGGACTGATAAATACCAAGTTTAAGGGACTAGCATCCTCTGCAGGGAAAGAGAGGTAGAGGTGATTATGTGTCTTAATCTGTTCTGTGCTGCTGTAACAGGACACCTGTGACCAGATAATGCATAGAGAACAAAAAACTGATTCTCGCACAGCCCTGGAGGCTGAAATCCAAAAGCAAGGTGCTGGCTCTGGTATGGGTGCTCTTCCCACATCCACATGTGGGAGAAGTAGAAGAAAGGAGAGAACACAGCTTGTCTTCCTAGGGCAGAAGGGGGAGAGAGCTAGCCCCACCCTGCAGGTCCCTTGATCGCAGCATTAGTATATTCATGTGGACAGAGCCAGCCTGACCCAAAAACCTTCCAACAGGCCCACTTCTAACACTGTGGCAGTGGGGGTCAAGTTCCAGCCCTGGGTTCTGGAGGAGACAAAAACATCCAACCATAGCAGTAAGTGATCGGATAAAGTCATAAGCTGTAACCAAATGTTTCATTTGTTTGTTTGTTTGTTTGAGACAGGGTCTCAGCTTGTTCAGGCTGGCCTTGAACCCACAATGTATCCCAGCTGGCCTCAAACTCATGGCCAACCTTCTGCCTCTGCCTTCTAAGTGCTAGGACTACAAGTGTGCACCACCACACTCGGCTCTAAATGTCCATTTCTATAGTGAAAAAATGTGAAGCTAATATGGCAAAATGTTAAAACTTTACAAAGCTACATGGGAAGTCCCTAGGTAATGATTTTACAGTACTTTTCTGTACTCTGTACATTTAAGACATTTTATAGATTTTTTTAAAGCAGCTAAAACTTGTGAGTTATGCAAAATTCTACTTTAGTTTGTTCCAGTGCTTCCTATACATCAGGTTATTTTACTAAGGGAAGTAAATCACCCTTCTCTTGTTCACAACTATGAAATGACAAGGTTTCAATTCTTAAGCAAAACGGTAAAATTACACCAAGATGGATCCTCAGCTTTTGGACAATACAAAATCGCCCCCTGCTGGTCCTATGACACCCTGTACTCAAATTGGCAATCGTGGAGAAGCGAATTCTTTAATGACAGCTTTTTCTGAGCCAGCCCTGTTAAAGAAGCCCTTAAAACCAGAAGTTATCATTACAGAATACCTTGGGCTGAACCTATATGGATTCTGGTACTCAGCAATTGCTTATCTGAGTGTTGAATATCTGCCTGTTAAATCATGTTTCTGTATGTGTATGTTGTAGAGACATTTCTTTTACGATCATCCTAATAAATTTAAATATTAATATTAAAAAGAAGCCCTTACAGAATTCCTCTTGTCATGAAGATATTTTAATCAGCCACCACCCTTCGTTAATGTTACATATTATGCAAAACAAAATGAAGTTGTTCATGAAAGATCTTGCCCCCTTCTGAGTCTGCAGGTTGGAAAAGGTGATAGAATAAATGTTTAGGAATGGCAGAAGGGACCCCAAGTCACAAAGAGGCCGCGATGGGGGCCAATGGCCAATTGAACATTGAAAAAATGGATTAACTGTGGTACTGTAAGGTTAGTCGTGTGGCATACATATGACTTCCTCATAGCATGACATTTTTAAAAATAGATTTGCTTTTCAATGCTATAACCACATTGGGAATATAGAAAAAATAAATCTCCCAAGCTGTCATTTCCTCTTTCTGATTTCTTTCTGATTCTTATCCATCCAGATTTTACTGAGTCCTAACACGCCTATGTTTTTAACTTGTCAGAACATCATCAATACTTTCCATATTGATTATCTTTTTAATCGTAATCTTAAATTTCAGAGTAATGTATCCTATGTTATTTCCCAAGTCTTCCTTGGTCAGCTGTTTCTAATTTTCTGTTATTAGCAGTAATGTAATAAATAAATTTTTGCAAAGCTTGTTTCTTTTTGTGAATTATTTCCTCATGATAAATACCCAAGAATGAGATTCTTGATCAAAGGCTAGAATATTTTCCTGGTTTTGTGGGGCAGGGGGTTCTTTGTTTTGTTTTCGTTTGGGGCTTTTGTTTTACATTGGTTTTTGTTTTGTTTTGTTTTGAAGCAGGGTCTCTAAAGTCACTGTTTCCCCGGGCTGGCCTCTTGCAGTCTGCTTACTCAGCCTCCTGGAGTACTGGTATTACAGGCTTGCACCACCATGCCCAATGATTTTTCTAGTTCTTGGATCACTTTCCCAAAGGATATTTTGATACTAAAGTTAATATCCCTTGCTCTGCTATCATGGTTCCTGCTTTCCTAGGCACATAAACCTCACGGCCCAATTTGCAGGATGTTGACTACTCCCTGGATAGACATTTTCCTTTGTCTGATCTCCCAGGGTAACCGCTGCATCCTTTACTGTTTTCACAGACCCAGAGCCAAGGAGTGTGACCCTCGACCCCCTCAGTGCTCCCCTGGGCAAGCACATCAAGACCACTGAGGCAGACACAGTAAAAAACATGTTGGTATTCAAAGTCAGAATGGCAGGGACTTCTCTACTTTCATACTTTTCTTCATTTGTAATTAATTTAATTTCTGTTTTTCTCTGAGACACACGAGAATTCTCAGCTGACAGCATGCAGAATGCTGGAATTAAAAGAAAGATAGCCACTGATTCAGCTCAGTGGTGCCACTGCCTGCTGCTGCCTCACAAGCACAAGGTCCAGAGTTTGATCCCTAGTACCAAAAAACAAAATAAAAATAAATAAATACATAAAAGTGAAATGCTCATGGAAGATTATGTTGTGATGAGTCCTGTACTTAAGCTACATGCTTAAGATGAGTGGGTAAAGAGTGAACTTTAACAATGGGATGCAGCTTTTTCCAATTGTCCAGATATCTGAGATCCACAGAGGTGCCCAGGAAGCCGGCTGTCTATCCATTCAACCCGGTTTTTCCTGTCAGTAGCACTCAGCCCCAAGCAAAGTGAGTACCACTGAAGGTTGCTGACATAGACTGAGGGCTTCTTGTATACCTTCTCTGTCCTTGCTAAGGGCTCTCTGGCCAGCAGTTTAGCCAGTCAGGCCAGGTCATTTGACCAGAGTCCCCAGCAGCTGCAGTACTGGTGCAATGTCTCTGTATTTGTTTCGGGGGGGAGGCAGGAGGGATTGTTGTTTTGGTACCAAGAATCAAACTCAGGACCTTGCACTTGCCAGGCAGGTGCATCACCACTGAGCTAAATCTCCAGCCCCTCTGTGTTTGCTAGTTTGTGTAGAGGCAGGGTCTTACTTTGCAGTTTAGGTTGATCTCGAACTCACTATGTAGCCCAGGCTAGCCTTGAATTCTCAGCGATCCTACTGCCTTAGCCTCCCAAGTGCTGTGATTACAGGTATGTGCCACCTTGCTTGGCTTATTTTATTTTGACAGTGTTTCACTACACACACACACACACACACACACACCCCAAGACTGGTCTCAAACTTGGGATCCTACCTCAGCCTCCTAAGTGCTAGGACTACAGTTATGTGCCACCATGACGGGCTCAAGGATAGTTTTTTGTTTTGTTTTTGGTTTGTGGTAAGAGAGATTGAATCTAGGGTCTTTGCATTGTACTAATACCCAGGCCTTTTTATTTTTATTTTGGGACAGGGCCTCATTAAATTCCCCAGTCTGGCCTAGAATTTTGCAATCCAGCAGGGCACGGTGGCGCATGCCTGTAATCCCAGCACTCAGGAGGCTGAGGCAGGAGGATCGCTGTGAGTTCAAGACCAGCCAGGGCTACATAGTGAGTTCCAGGGCAGTCTCAAAAAAAAAAAAAAAAAAAGCTTTGCAATCCAGCTATTTGAGCCTCCCAAAAAACTGGGATTACAGACGTGTGTCAACACACCCAGCTCATTTAAAAATGTTTGACAGCTTTTCTCACAACATATTCAAACTACTTAGTACTACAACAACCCACCATCAAAAAAGATGAAGTAAAGAAAAAATTTTATTGCTCAGGGGGGCAGAGGCTGAGGCAGAGGACTGCTGTGAGTTCAAGGCCAGCCTGAACTACATAATGAGACCCTATCTAAAAAAAAAAAAAAAGACATAAATAAAATACCCACAACAACCACTCTTCTCACTGTGACCAGGTTTCAGATTCAGTGTAGAGATTCTTAGACATGAAAGAAGAAGAAAATAAAGAGCACACAATCAGGTTTGCGGCACTCATTTGCAGGCTACCTGATCCTTAGGGGAAATGAAGGTTTTTCTAGCACTAAATTCTGAAGGAGACTTCTATGTTTTGTTTTGTTTTTTTCTAATAGAGCGACAGTGAATGACTTAGAGTCTTATATATTTACAGGAAATTCCATTTACCTCACTCAACAAATATTTCTCAGGTTTCCACAGTAAGGCCCTGTGCCCACCTCACTCAGTAAATACACTGGTTTAGCTAAAAAAAAAAAAAAAAAAAAAAAAACCTGCCTGGCCACAGGCCTAGACCTGGAGCACACAGTGTGGCTGTTGCTGGGCAGGCGTCCAGTGGCCTCTTCACCCACAGGCACAGTCAGGGGTGGAAATGACCAAGAGTAAATTCAGAGGGGTAAAGGAATAGAGAGGGCTGTGTGCTCCTGAGATGATCTTTCTTAAAGGGCACTCTTTTTTCCCAGGGAAGCCTTCAATGGAGGGAAAGGCGTATATACTTCGATGTCACTCACTTGCAGATATGAATACTGTGTCCCCACAAAGAGGCAAAGGGTGCTGCGTACTCTGAGGGTTAGGGTTTACGAAAAAGGTGATCTTCACGATCACCCCACCCAGGTGTCTGTTGAGGAAAAGAAAGTCAACCCCATATGTCATGTGCCCAGAACGGGGCCTTTCAGAAAACAGGTGCCCTGTTGCTTGTTCCCTTGCTCTCTTCCTCCTGACAGACTTCTCTCACTTGGTCCTGTTGGTTTGCTCTTTTCACAGGAACAGAGATGACGGAGCTCACTGCCTGCACGGAGCACTTCCTGCACCTGCATCTGAGTCACCCAAGAGCTCGGGTGTTGTGGATGTATCTTCTTTGCCAAAAGCAAAAGAAGTGAAAACTGAATCAAGACTTAACCAGCATGCACCAGCCAGCATCCATCCTGTGAGTGTAAAGTCCTGGGAATTGATCTAAAGACCCTTACCTGGATCCCATCAAGGCCACCATGTACAGTTGTCTAGGTTGCTCACTATACACAGGCACCTAACATAAAGGACTCAGGGGACAGAAGTCCATCTGCAGTCTGCTCACCAAGCCCTGCACTTCAGCATGGGGCTGAAGGACAGGGCCCCACTGCTAACTCCTGTGGAGGCAGCCATGACCCGACTTTTGCCCCCATCTCAGGAGGACCCTCACAACGTCCTGGCCCACAGGGAGAGTGCAGATGAATACAGATGTGCTGTCCTGTTTGAAGTTTCTAGAAAGTGAACAAATGCAACACTGAATGAAGTTGACCTCAGTTTGAAGTAATGATCCACTAATGATGTATCAAAGGCAAAAACTGCTGCAGTTGGTTCAGCTCTGTAGAATATGATTCAGCATGAAGAAAGGCAGCAGAGACAGGCTTGGTGGTTTAAACCTATAATTCCAGAGTTCTGGGAGGCTGAGACAGGAGGCTCACCAGTTCAAACCCAACCTGGACAACTTAGTGACTTAGCAGTACCGTATCTCAAAATAAAATAAAATAAAATAAAAAATGGTAAAACAAGGGCTGGGGATGTAGTTTAGTTCCTCTTTTCTTCCATGAAATTTTCTCTGGCCATTTTAAATCAAAGACTCAATCTTCCAATCTCTCCACTGGCTCTACAGTCTCTAAGACTCATTCTTCTGCTTCACCTGAAACTTACAAAAGTTCTATTCTAAGCCATTCTGTCACCTCATTCAACCTAGACCTCCTTTGATAGCTTTTTCCATTTCCTAGATGTACCATACCATAGTACTGCTCTATAATTTTTTACCTTTAGGAAAAGGAGTTAACTGACAAGACCAAGAGAAAGAAAAAAACCAAGACAGACAAGACCAAAGCACCCACAAGGAAGACAGAAGGAAAGGTGCTCAGGGAAGCAGAGACTGCAGGAGGTAAGAGAGGATGTCTGGGGAACAGCCCCAAGACTCTTGGTGCAGCCTGGATTCTACAAGATGGGCTCTTCGGAGATTGGACAAAGGGCTTTCACAATAGAGCTACATCCCCAGCCCTTTTTTATTTTTCATTTTGAGCTGGAGTCTTGCGCAGTCACTAAATTGCCCTGCTTTGTCTGGGCTTGAACTTGCCATCCTCTTGCCTCAGCCTCCCAGACTGCTGGGATTACAGGCATGTGCCACCACGCCTGGCTCAAACTTTCTATGTTGAGCCTCCTTGACTACCATGGCTGTGATGGTGTGGAAGCCACACTTCACAGCGCTAGCCCAGTGGACAGGGATGAAGGAGACTGGGAGTGGGGCCTAAGGGCCTGTGACCACCGAGATAGGAAATGAAATGGCAGAGCCTGCATTAGGAGCTCTGCAGACAGGACCCAGGAAATCCTCACATCATGGTACAGCTAGTGCTACTGTCGTATTCATGGAGCAGTCGAGGCTGTGATGCTGGGTGCTTGCATGAGGGCAAACAGTAAAAAGGTAAGGCTGGGCTTGTCCTTTTCTAGTCACTCTCCACTCTCAGCTATTACTGCTTCTCTGTGAACTCATAGCTGCAGGCTGAGCCTCCCTGCTCTGAACATACCTAAAGCTTTCTGAGTACCAACAAGATGCCCCAAGTGGTGGAATCCACTCCTGACCTCCTTTGGTGGGAGGCCATGGAAGTGCAGGTGCACTGAGAACAGTGAACACAGTTACCTGCAGGCTGTGTGCAGGAGGTGTGTGTGTGCGCATGTGCGCATGTGTGTGCATGTGTATGTACATGGAGCATAAATAAATCTCCTGTTGTAGACTTCGGTCCTATCCCCAAGATTTCTTATCATGAAAATGCATTTATTTCAAAATCAGAAAATATTCAAAATCCAAAACATGTCTGGTCCTAAACATTTCAGATGAGGGAGGTGAGAGCTGTTTGTCATGATGAGTGTTCAGGCAGGGAGTTTGGGGAGAGGGGCAGATGCAGAAAGTTGTGAATGGTCCTTTCATCCACTGTGCTCCCTCTTGGGACCCTGTGTTGTGTCTTAGAAGGAACTCAGATCTCTGTACTTCTGAAGACTTCCTTCATCTGCAACGTAACCATCCTTTACTGCCTACATAATTCAGAAAACCCTCCAAACAAATCACAAGCTGTTAGAAGGGACAACATTGGATACTCCTGGGACCAGATCTATTTTTGAGAGAATCCTTATGGCCTCAGAGGTGAACTGAGGAAGGAGCCTTAGTTTTAAACTTTACTAGGTTACAAAGCTACAGCCTCAAGTCAGATTCTCAGGAATTTCTGGCTGGGTCTACAGATCCTCACTGTAGAGTCTTTCCCACAACAGGTAAAATGGAGCTATTGTTTGTTCTTTTTGTGATGCTGGAGATTGAACGCAGGGCCTCACACATACAAAGTGTGTGCTGTACCACTGAGCTACATATTCAGCCAAAGAAACAGAACTTTTCAATAGCAGCGCTATGGAGTGACACTTGATCCAAATGGGATAAGGCAGTTTCTCAACAGGTGGTCCAACAACTGCCCTCCTCAGAACTTCACTGCCATGCATACTGCTGCTGACCCAGGTTCTGGGAGTGGCACTCCAAAACTGCACCCCAGGTAATTCCATCCTGCCCTGCAGTTCCAAGGTTACTGAAAAGGATGTGCACAGATCACATTTCCTTACCTTTGTCCCTAATTGTTTTCCCCTAGGCAAGTCAAAGGACACAAAAGCTGAAAAGAAATCAGAGCCAATTTCCAAACGAAGAGACCCAGGAGCCAAGAGGAAAAGGACACAGAAGGAAGTAAATGTGGAGATGGCCGCAGAACCAAGTGGGCCTGACATCACCAGTTCCAAGGAAACAGAGGGCACCTCAACTGGGGGTTTGCCCCCTGGGCACCCTAGTACAGAGGAGTCTTGGCCTTGTCCCATGTATGATGTTCAGGAGAGCTACGTTTCTATAGATGCAAGATCTTCACCTGTCCAGCCCACAGTGGTCACAGGCAGCATAGAAGCTGAAGAAGAAAGATGTGGTACAGCCCTTTCCCAGGTGAGCTCCAATGCTGTCTCCTGTTGTCTGCAACTACAGTCCCAGGGAGTGTACATGAGGATGACTACAATCCTCATGGGCTGTAGTTCTTGAGGCTTTCTGTGAGGCCTCAGAAGCACCAGGGCATGAATCCACCCCTCAGAGAGCAAGAGGTAGGTGCACAGCATCCACCTGTGAGTGATTCAGGGGTCAATATCAGGACAGGTCGATGATGGCTGGCAGAAGCAACCACAGACCCTTGGCCTGGCGCAGAGCTCGCCCATCACTCACCTCCAGAAGCCCTTTTCACATCTGCTTCTCTGCAGTACCCAGCTAGGCCAGAGGCACCTCAAACACGCACATCTACTTTTTACAAATCTTTTTTTATCGATACATATTTGCAGTGCATAATGATTGCATTCATCATTCTTTTCTCATCTCCCCACCTCCCCTCCCTGCAATCTACCTTTACAAGGTGCTTTTTCACACAGACGTCACAGGAGCCTTGAATCGAATGTGATGGTCCAAAAAGAAAAAAAATCACTCTTGAAATTCTCTGGTTAGTCAAAAAAGAATGACACAGAGATACTTCACTTCTCAGTAAAACCACCACAGACCAATTCCCTCTAACTTTGAAATGTGTCACTTATTTCTTCTACTGAGATGCAGGTGCTAAATGACACTTAGAAGTCTTCCATCCAAAATAAGTAGCTTGAAACACCATCATCGTGTCTCCCCCAAAATAAGACCTAGCTGGAAAATAATCAGCCTTGAAAACTAGAGACCAAAAAGGCCAGTGCCCACTGGCCTATCCTTGCTTGACCTGCCTCACAAAATAGGCACCGAGCAAGAGGATGGTGGTGGCAGATGAGGCATGGATAGAGGCCGTTGGGGCTGGCATTTTTCATCTCTAGTTTTCAAGGCTGATTATTTTCTTGTTAGGTCTTATTTTCAGAAAAAGAAGGCACCACTAATACACACACAGCTAAGCCTCCAACACTAAGTTTGACTATGTTGCATGTGCACGGAGCAGATGTTGGCTTGCTTCCCCTTTACAGCCACACCTGAGAGCAACTATCAAGAGTCTTGGTTTGAACTCCCAGTTGTACATCGTTTGCCGGAAACTGCACAGCCAGAGTGGTTGAGCCAAGACTCAAACTCAGGTCCTTTAATTCCAGGAGTGTTCTTGTCACTATTTTAATTATTTATTTTATAGTGTAGTGAAATCTTTCAAAAAGATTTCACCATTTTCCTTTATAGTTCACAGACCTACCCTCTCAGCTGTCTGGAATTCTGCTCTGCACAACAGATGAAAATTTTAATCTGTAAACAGAACTTTTCTGAGCCAGCTAGATCACAGAACTTCTTAGATCTATTGTCAGTTTATAGCGTTATGCTGCCTCTGCAAAGGCTAAAAAGCAAATTTCACTGCATGTTGGGTTCCCGTGGAAGAATCAATTCTCAAAGTACCCCTCACAGGTATATTTCTGAGTGAGTGGAAGAATTAGGAGAAAAAGAAAACTATAGAAATTGTCATATATGCTAAAAGAAAAAATTTTTTAGCCAAGCTTAATGGCACATGACTGTAATCCTAGCACTCAGGAGGCTCAGGCAAGAGAATCACCTTGAGTTCAATACCAGCCTGAGCCAGACATGGTGGCACACACCTGTAAATCCCAGCACTCAGGAGGCTGAGGCAGGATGATCGAGGATCATTGTGAGTTCAAGATCAGCCTGGGCTACATAGTGAGTTCCAGATCAGTCTAAACTACATAGTGAGACCCTGTCCCAAAAAACCAAAACAAACAATACTGGCCTGACCTACATAGCAAGACCATCACAAAAAAAGTTTAAAAAGTGCATTTTACAAGATTTAATGTGAGTCTGACCTCTCATAACTAAGATCACCTTTGGTCAAATGGCCCCTATCTACACCCTGTACTTCCAGCTCCAGCTCCAAGTTACATGTTAGAAGCTTTCTTTTCTTCTTTTTCTTCTTTTATTGTTTTGTTTTTGTGGTGCTGGAGATTGAACCCAAGTGCTAGGCAGGCACTCTACCACTGCACTACATTCCTAGCCTTTTTTATTTTATTTTGAGACAGGGTTTCACTAAGTTGCCCAGGCTGGTCTCAAATGTAATCCTCTTGCTTCAGCCACCCCAGCAGCTGGAAGTAGCATGTTCCACCTGCCTGGATAGAAGCTTTTTATTTATTTTTTAACCCAAGGAAGTCCCCTACATAGAGGTTTTCATTTTAGTTGTCTTAGTAGAGCTCTGGTACATCTAACATATTGCTAGGGTTGAGAACTCTAGAGCTATTATGTACTATGGTGGCACCATGACCATTTCAGTGAATCCTAGTAACAGCCTTCCATGAGGAAGACAATGTCAGGAAATTTAAATTGTGATTCCCAAAACCCAAAGCAAGTGAGAGAAACCCAAATCCAGTAGTTGGCCCCCAACACCCAAGATGGTGGTGGCAAAGTGTGGCATCTGCTGTTTCTCTGTGCTGCATGGACAACTCTGCTTTTGTCCTGAGCGCACTGTGGTCTCTCAGGCCCTCCTCACCCAGAGGGAGCAGGAAAAGGCAGCCCGGGACAGGCTGCGAGCACAGAAGGCTGAGATGAGGCTGCTGGAGGTGGAAAGGAAGAGGAGGGAGCAGGAGGAGCAGAGCCGCCTCCAGCAGGAGCAGCAGAAGAACGCAAAGATGAGGGAGGAGCTGGAGCTGGAGCAGCAGAGGCGCGCAGAGGAGATGCGGTGGGTCCACAGCTGAGAGACCTTGGGTGTTAGGAAACAGACAGGGAAAACGAGGCAAAGTGGAGGCTGCTAACCTGACATAAAACCACCCGTCTCACTTTGCTTGCTTAGTTACCCCGGGAACAACCTGGACCCCAGGGAAGCTGTGGTGTCTTGACCATTTGGGTTACTAAAAATAGATGTTCATGGGCAGTTCTTGGGAAGGCTTTGGGACTCAATCTAGCCAACATTTGTTGAGTCCCTGCCACACCACATGGCACCAGGCCTCTGAGGCCTAGACTCTCATTTCCACACCTGGAGTTTCAGAATCCATGTGGAGATGGAAGCTCTGAGATGTCAGGCCTCTCCCCCAAGGCACAGAGCTGTGTACTGAAACCTCACAGCTTCTCTTCTAGATGTCGTTTTCTTGCCTCTGTTCTTTACTCTTGGCTCCCTTAGAAACCTGCTGTCCTCTCAGGAGGGGATGTTCTCAGGACCCACAAGCTGCAAAGCGTTCCCGGGGCACTGCCCACTGACTTGTCCAGGGTTCTGGGCTGTCTCCCTGACTCTCTGGTGTTTTCCCAGCTTGAGGAAACAGAGACTTGAAGAAGAACAGCAGCAGGAGGAGTCAGAGAGAAAGCAATGGCTCCAGTGGCAGGTGGCCCAGGAGAGAGCCCAGCAGCAGCAAGAGGAGCTCCGCAGGACAATGCAAGAACGACAGAGAAAAAAACAGCAGGAGGAGGCCGAGAGGGCTGGTGAGGAAGAGTCTCAAGCTCTTTCCATTGCTCATCTATTTGAGGCAGAAATATTTTTATCCCTTTGTGGGTGTTCATGTGTTCCTAGTTTAGGCATGAGTGCATGAAGCACTCCAAACATATAAGCCATTTTTTCCAAAGTGATTATTATGTGTGACTACAGTGAGCTGACCTAGAAGTCAGAATCTAAAAGGAAAGACCTGCTATGGAGGCAGCTCCAGGGTCCCACTCCCTATCTGGTAATCTGCCGATGGGACCTGGCCCCTCTTTGACTTTCAGCACTGCCTGGGAGCTGTCTAAATTGGACACATAGACCTTCTGCTTGCTTCCTACCCCAGGAGATGGAGACACAAATTCCTGGATAGCCACAAGACACAGTTGCAAGTACTGATGCTGAAAAGCTTTCTAGCCTGCTTTTGAGGAAGATATAGGGGCTGTAGTAGGTGATCTGTGGCCACTTCCTGGTTCTGGCTCTTAAGATGAGCCAAGTTTCTCTCACCCTGATCTGACCTCTTCTCCAACCCAGCTGCATTCCACCCCATGCAGCAGACTGTGGAGAAATCTTTCCTGGGGCTTTGTATTAATTGCACAATGTACTGCGTGTAGTAGGTGCTTGATAAAGGACTCAGATTAGTAAATTAACCCCCAGGTAACCCCACAGAGGGTTTGGCAGCTCAATAAACTGCAGAATTGCTCAGAGTCCCTAGGAATCACAGGTTTGAGAGTTGGATAAGAATATGGATTTCCCTAATAATGTGCCTTGCTGAGCAACCTCCCACACCTCATTCTGCAGAGGCAGAGAAGCAAAGGCAGAAGGAATTGGAAATGCAGTTAGCAGAAGAACACAAACGCCTGATGGAAATGGCAGAAGAAGAACGACTGGAGTACCAGCGGCAGAAACAGGAAGCAGAAAAGAAGGCTCTCCTGGAGGCCGAAGAGAGGAGGCAGAAGGAAGAGGAAGCAGCCAAGGTAGCTCTGGAGGAAGCTATGAAACAAGCCCAGGAACAAGCCAGGTATTACATATGTGGACAAATACGGGCCAGAGGCAACCCTCCTTGCACTGCCCCAAACAAGCAGTTTCCCCCCATGCTCCTCCCCATAATGCAGTGGTTTGGAAGACTAAAATGCAAGGTGATTCTTTGGCAGCAAATGTCACAGAATTCCCTCATGGCTTGTAGAACTTATACTAAAGTTAGAAGGGAGATTACTGACCATTTATCTCAATCCTCTGGCTTACAGGTAAGTGAGACCCCTGGTTTACAGGTGAAAAGAGCAAGTTCTAGGGCTGGAAATGTAGCTGAGGGGTAGAACACTTGTCTTGCATGTGAGACTTTGGGTTCCATATCCAGGAAAGAGAGAGAGAGAAAGAGACACTCAAAGAGGGGAAAGATGTTGATCAGGGCTGACCAGTCAGTTGCGGGCAATGCCAGGACCAGATCTAAGACCCTCTGACTGTGAACCCACTGCATTTATGAAGTGCCTACTGAGTATATTCTAGATGCTGGTTATTTAGAAGTGAGCAAGGCAAACAAGATCTCTTCTCTCAGTGATACTTACATTCTAGGGAGAAAGACTCTAAGCAAATAAAAATACGTTTTTTAGCTAGCAACAAATGCTTTGCAGAAAATTTAAAAGATGTGACCAGGAGTGCAAGAGGTTTAGACTGGTCAGCAAGGCAAGACCTCTCAGAAGAGGTATCAGCTAAGGTGAGATTTGAATGACAAGGAATTAGCCACACAACCATCTGGGAGAAAAATATTCCAGCAAGTAAACCAAAGTGCATCTGAAGACAGTTATGAGATCAATTGCACACACCTTTAAATACCACATTGTTTTTCTGGTGTGAGAAACTGAAAGTGGAAATAAGGACTCAAATGTATAATGGAGGTTGGGAAATGGGAAGTGTTCAAAGGATAAGGAGAACAAGGGAGGAGAGAGGGGGAAAAGGAAGGGACAAGAAAAAAAGTGAAAATAGAAAAAATGGAAACAAAGCTTTTGTACATAGGGAGGAGAAGGGACTTGAGGGGGCCATGGAATAAAATAAAGTAAAATGTATTTTAAAAAGTAGAAAGAGATGAGATTGACATGCTGGAAAATTGAAAGAAAAAAAAAATCATGGCTGGAATGAAGTGAGCTAGGGGCAAATGATACTTCCAGATGAAGTCAGAGAGGTGGGCCAAGACCAGATCTAATGAGGGCCTTGTCAGAAGAAAGAGCACAGAATCAAAATCACCCAGGGATAAGAGCCAAGGATTTTAGCTTAATGGCACTGTGCCTGCCTCGTGAGCACAAGGTCCTGTGTTCAATCCCGGTACCAAAAAAAAAAAAAAAAAAA